AAGCGATGATGTTCAACTACCCCCCAAAAAAAAAAATTAATAAATAATAATAATCTTCACAAATTATCCAAGAAATTGTAACTGGCTTTAAGATTATACATATGGAAGTTCAATATTCCTATGGTAAGTGTTAAGACATGTATCGAATCCTCCAAATAAGCACAAATATCCTGTGTAGTATCTTGTACAGGGTACCGAGAGCAAATGAGTTTATTTCATTCGCTTCACAGAAACAGTGGGTTTTGCTAATGAGTGCACGAGCATGAAATGGTCCCCGTGTGCTTAGTTTGTTGACAGGTTTCAGCACCACTTGAAAGGATGGGCACTGACAGAACCCATTCGCCTCATCACCTTTGTGGAAACCGCTGTGGGCCTGCTCAATTTTAAGGTAAATTACAAACAACATCTCGCCCCTCCACACACAAAAAAAGGAAAAGGAAAAGAAAATCTGCATGCGTAAGACATTTTTCTGTTTGTCCATTGTTCACTTTAGATTAAAGACTGCATCAGTGAGCAGAGAACTCCACATGTCTAAAATAAAAGGGATTCAAAGCTTTCAGACTGTCCCCCTCAAAACGAGCCTTTTGAGGCTTTTTTTTTCTACCTCTCCGTCGCGTGTCCCTCTCTCTGTCTGTCCTCTTCAGACACGCTGACATTTTTTAATTAGAACCATTTTAATATCGTCACAGTGCAAAAGTTCTTAATGATATTTCAGATAGCATCAAAGTGATTTTTTTTTTTTGGTAATAGTACAGCACGACCTTCAGCTACACGAGAAAAGAGGGCACGGTTTGGGGCATTTGGGGAGAAACCAGCTGTCATTGCTTCTTCTGATTTGTCTTTTAGTTCTTCAGCCTAATTCTGGGACTGTGGTTGGAAGTATGTGTTTTGATGGCAGGGGGTGGCTCTGTGTGCTGTCTTGAGAACACCCTGTAATTTTTTTTCTTTTTTTTTTGCCCAGACTGAACCCAGGGTTACAAGCATGAAAAAAAAACTCGCTGTGGCACAGCTAGTGGTGAAATTAATTTGGAGGCCAACAAAAGCAGGAAACATGTTCATATTGTTTCACAGCCTTCGCCACAGACAATCGCATTCAAAAGGGTTTCTTTCTTTTTTAAAGTTTTACTTTCCCCCGTAATAATTGGAGCCATTAGTCTTTGCTTTTGTTGTTGTTTGATTTTTTTTTCAAATCTTTTTTGAAGAGCAATGAAATATAATTTGAAAAACGTTTTCCTTTAGTAAAATAAAGTAGCTCCACGATGTGTTAGTGATTCGTATTTTCTTAACACAAACTACTGTTCTGTTATATGCAAAAATGTAAACATTTAATCATTTAAATAAAAAACGGGAAACATTTAAGGTTACTTCACAGGTTTTAAAAACTTTACTGCTTCAGTCTTAACAAATTAAACCTTGTGTAAAATAGCAGGGAGGCTTGATATGCAACTTTTCCTTAAGAGCTGCAAGCCAGGTGTCAGGTGGCACCTTTAGTGGGCTGGTATAATAATATGAGTCCTTGAGGAAAGAAAGCTTGGAGTGTAATTGGGAGAGATAAATGATGTGTGTTATTATATTACCTTTATGTTAAAGATTTCAGAAAGAGTATATAGGATAGTTTTGTGATGACGAGTGTAAAATTAGGAGCATTTGTTACAGTTTAGCCTGTTTTCGTCTGTTTTACTTTAACCCATCTCAATCAGGATGGTGTTTGTTCTTTCCAGGCGGTGTGTGAGGAAATTCGCTCGCTTGGTCCTAAAGTTGGTCTGCACCATGATGGCGTGGTGTTTGGCTCTGATGACTTCTGTGCAAGCATAGGTAGCTATTTCACATTCTGCCACTGCTGACCCCAAATTCTCTTATTCTCCTCCTGGATTCATGGCAGAGAAGATCAATTTCTGTAAAATGCACAAGCTTAGTTGCTAGTCTTAAAATATAATGCATGTCACATTTTCTCAATTTTGAACACACATTTGCAGAACTGCAGGAACAGGAAAGACGTTTTTTTCCAGTCGAATTACGGGATGATTCACAGACGTGGGATACCTAAGTTATAAATGTATAAATGTAAATGTGCTGGAACTCAAAGATCCAATTCACTGAATCAGGTCACATGAGTAAAAAAGGACATTGTGTCTAAATGATTATTCTTTGGTTTTTGTTTCTTGTCATTAAACCCAATGAGTAGGTTTGTTTTAAAGGACAGAGTTAATGGGTAATGAAGCACAGAGACCAGTGGTTAATAATCCCAATTGACTGTTTGGCAGCAAGAATCGGAAATGACAGAATAAACCTTGATTATTTTTTTTTTATTACATAAAAGGATGTGTCAGTGTACTTTATGTAATACCTGCTGCTCATCGCCCATCACCGTTTTATCTAACCTACACCTACTTACAGATCAACAGCGTCTCTTTGAGATCTTGTCTGGCAAACTGTGCATGTGTCCTTGGACTTTTTTCATAAGGTGCCACACGGACCAAGGATGCCAGGGAGCTCCTTTATGCAAGGCAGAGGGTGGTTGTGACTGCCAAAGCCTTTGGGCTACAGGCTATTGACCTGGTCTACATCGACTACAAAGACGTGGAGGGGCTGAGGCAGCAGGCCAGAGAAGGCGCTCTCATGGGCTTCACAGGTAAAGTTTCTTGTTTCTTTATCTGAAATCTGCCCTTGTTCCTTCAAGTCCTGACTTGAGACATCACGTCTGTCACTGTGATTTACCTCTGATTTCTGCATTTGCTTCACATTGTTCTCATCTTTTGCTCTTAATTTCTCTTCCTGAATATAGCATGGCAACGGGCATCCCTTACTTCCTGTTGCAAGCGGCATACAGGCCGTTCAGCTTTCACTCCCTCTGCCCTCTGTTACATGTGGGTTTTTGTTTTGTTTTGTTTTTTTCTCCCGTGTCTCCTTCCAAATGAGAATGGGGGAATGAACCAGCTGATAAATGCTTTAAAATGTTACATGAAACACTGTGGGAGGTGACAGAGCATCCTTTGGCTTTTCATTTGTTATTTATATACTTGTATTGCACACTGCAATGAAGATCTCACTTTTGTGCCTGTATGAATGGGTGTGTGTGCACTTGAGTATGTATAATTAAAAGGAGTTATTAGTGTGTGATAGTGTGTCTATAGCCAGGTCATGCTTTTTGTGTATGTGTGTGTATGTGTGTGTAGCCCTGCAGACTGCCTGCAACAGACCACAGAAGGCAGGACAACCTGTTCCCACAGTGTGTTTTTGCAGGCACTGTACTTGCAATCCTGCAAATAATTCTTTGATATTTTTGTACCATTTTTTAGATTTTAAAATCCCCCCTTGTGGTGTAGATCCACATAAACTAAGGCAACACATGACTGAATTTCATGGTTTTGTAATGGCTAGGATTTTTTTATTTATTTTTTTGCTTTTTTGCCCCAATTTCAGATCATTTTAGCAGAACAGCATCGGACATTAGTCGCCAATCACACTGGGAAAAGATGGAGAAAAAATAAGCACTGGCACAAAAAGCGTAAATCCCTTTGTACACTCTTCTGAACATCTACTCGACACACACGTTACCTTGCACCTAAAATCAACAAATCAGTCTGGAGTCGAGCTTCTTTTGTTGCTTTTGAATTTTTGGTTTTGGTTGTCTCATACAGAAACCCTCAGAATGTATATTATGTTTAGTACAGGGGTTCCTCACATTAATGCCATTATTAGACGTGTAATATACTGTTTTTGTTTAGTTGTTGGAGTCGGCGTGATTCCAAGCAAACAGAGAATCAAAAGAAATCTGAAGTGTGGTTTACATGAAGCAAACATTTTAAAAACTAATTAACAGAAACAGTCATTTGAAGAAATAAATGCTTTTGATTTGATATGGAGCAGAACTGTTTAAAGCAGTGGATTAGTGGCTTTCAAGCCATGGGCACTCTGTATAATCTTAGTTAGTAGCTATTACTGGCCCGAGTGTGCTTAAGCAATAATGCGGTGCAGCCAAAAGCTTCTACCTGTGCAGTAATTGACCTTGGCACTAACTAAGCCGCATACAGCACCCATTAGTGCTGAGCACGGAACACACTGTTCAAACGTAAACACTCGCTGCTGTTTACTGGTTAGCAGAAATTAAGCCAAACTCCTATGCAAATATATGTTGGGGAGGAATATCATCCGTTAAGTTCTTTATCAGTTCACTCTTTACTTTGTTAGCACTTTTTTTTTAATGCGCTATAAATCAGGTTCCTGTTAAGGCTCAGTGATCCCTGTGAAAATGTTTGCTGCTCAGAAACAGCACTGTTCCACAAATTCTCTGCTCTTAGGGACCACATTTCACTTCCATCTCTGGGACCCTGCCCATCATTCGCTTGAGAGCACTTTGCTAAATAGCAATCCTCCAATGAGATGCCAGCACCACATGGCAGGCCGGGATTGGCTGGAGGGCATGATTGATGTATTTTAGGAGAACCAATGGGTTGTAACTGAGGGCACCTGAGTCACCCTTGTCTGCTTCTTCGCTCTGTCATTCTCCCCTTGTCCTAAACAACCACACACACTCTCACACTGACGCAAATAGACGCCCTCTTTCCGTATTATAAACCTGGTGGTTTTCTGTGTGGAAACATGCCCCCGTCTTCTGCCCAGAAGTAAAACAGGTGGCAGAGAAGGGTGTACACACACACACACACACACACTCGTCCTCCCTCACTTCTGATAGAAGGTAAACATACAGGCACAATGTTCCACTGAAAAATTATCACATAATATTTGCTTTCTACCTTTTTTTTTATGTTGAAATGAATCAGACTAACTGTTGCAGAGGCATATGCACAAACACATGCGCACACGCACAAGCCTGCAGACATACAAGCACACATTCATACACAACTCCAGAGTGGCCTGGGGAGTCCTCGGGCTGTTTGTTCAACAGAAAATGTGCTGTCACAATCTCTGCTTCACACACTGAAACCCCATCAGCAGTCACTGGCAGTTCGCAAATACACACACAAACACACAAAATGGGTTTTTGAACATGTTTTGTCATATGCACACTTTCCTGAAAGGTGTCTATTTATTACAAATGGCAGTTTCTGAATTATGTGGGCTCATAAGTAATTGTTCGAGCCTTTAACGATGGCGTGTTGATTGTGCGAGCTCTGCGGGTTTGTCTAGGGTTAACCAGGGTGAGTGGAGCAGGAGAAGAGAGGGTTTCTCTCTCTCGCCTCGTCTCCCCTCCTTGCCTTTCCTCCTCTCTCCTGGGCCGAATTCCCCCCCCTCCCCTTTTTTTTTTTTTTTTAGCCCGTGCAGCACGCCCGCCCGCTCAGCCACCTTGAAGGATTTGTTGTTGGCGACAGTGCTAAGCCCTAAAGTGTCGAGTTCCTGCTGGCTGCCTCAGAGCCGCCGTTCTCACCCAGACGTTTCATAACCTTAACTTATCACTACAAGTTTGATCTGCAAATGTACATGGGATTATGTCTGTGGCGTTCACCCACATTTAACTGAGAGGAAGTGGGAGAGGGGAAGGTGGGGGGATTGTGGCAGATGGAGCAAGAAAATCCATGTTGGGATTCTGTTTAAGATCAGTGTCATTGTGAAGCCAGGGTTGCTGATCATATGGCATCCTAAAATTAAATATAGAAAAATGATACGTGTCAATTCAGACATTGGATTATTAACTGTTTCACTATGGTTATAAAATTAACACTTCATATACATTGCACTGTCTTATTTAGCCTTGTTTTTCCTTGTCATTTTCCAGTGATTTACTTACCCGTGTATGCCCACAGAGGCTTTCACAAACTGTTCTTTCACAAACTGTTCTTTCATCAGTAAGTGTGTTTTTTTTTTTTTAGATGACTTCTGTCACATAATGAAGTCTTACTAAGCATTTAGTGACATTTCTGCTTAACAGCAGGGCTGCAAGCAGAGCGGAGACATGTTTTATCTGTCATAATGCACAGCATCGTCTGGCCCCGTTCATCTTCCTGACTATTGTCATTCTGAAACTTATACAATCCTCTCTTGCTTCTCCTCTCTCATTGCCTCTGGGCCTCAGTCCTTCTTAATTCTCAGCCTGCTTTTCTTTTTCTATAATCTTTGTGCAGCAGTTCACATGAAAATAAGCATTTTATTTGGTTTTAGTCGTGCACGAATTGTATTACTTCTATATCAACAAGTAAAAGCATTGTTTTTCGAACACATTCTTCTTCTTCTTCTTCTTCTTCTTTTGGTTTCATTTGAAGGCACTGAAACCCCGCTGTTATAATTAGCACAGTTAATTTTCTTTTTGTGTGTGTGTTTCTCCGTAGGTAAGCAGGTTATCCACCCAGGGCAGGTCCAAGCTGTGCAAGAAGAGTTCTCCCCCAGCAAGGAGAGGGTCCAGTGGGCCAAAGAGCTCATTGCTGCTTTTGACCAACATCAGAAGGAGGGAAAGGTAATGTTAACATCCTTTGCGAAAAGTAAAACTGCATTTTTTTTTCAGACTTTGAAAAGTCAGTGGAGTTTCTCTGTGATGGCAGTGTTTTGGTCTAAAATGTCTTAACAATTTTTCTCGTAGCTGATAAAATGTAAGTGTGAAGGTGATTTTATTAATTTGTTATAATTCATCAGCCCCATAGATGGGTGTGTCATTTGCCTTAAATGTCAAATTTTTTTTAACACAAAAAGTGACTCTGTATATTCTTCTTGGTTATTAGTTTTTTAGTATTGGCTCTTAATCAATTTTTTTTAGCAATTGTATTCAAGCTGCAGCGACAATTGAATTCCATTTTTATTCTTTTATAGAGTAATATTTTTTTGTGAATCATTCAGAAGATGCACTGACTGAAAACCTTTTTTATAAATGATGCAAGAGTATTTCAAGTGATCCCTCCCCCTTAAATGGTCGTGTCCAGGACAGTAAAATATCTGTGTCGACTGTCTGTTGACAGGTCCGAGGTCTTTCTCTGCTCTATCATTCAGACCGATCTTTTGTGATACACAATTTTTGTGATACACACCTCTGTAGTTCCAGAGAATACGTACTGTACACCCCTGGGTGACTCTCAGAGACAACATAGGAGGGTGGAGGGGTGGGGGGAGCTGGGCCAATTAAGTGTACAATATTATTGTTCCTAATTTAGTGCATGGTTGGATCCTGTGTGCTGAGCTCAGTGGTCTATCTGCTGAGGTAATACACAATCTGCCTACACCTCTCTCACTGCCAGGGCTGCTCCTACTAAGCATCGCCCGAGGGATTCATATCTTACCCATCCCTCTGCTGTGTATGCATGTGTACGTGTCTTTCTGTGTGTGAGAGGGGAGTGTGTACGTAATGGTTTGAATGGTGAGTAGGGTTTGTCCCTTTGTCTTACAATGTGACAGGTGCTTGCCTTTCATAATCTTTACCTCCAGCCACTGACAACAATTTTGACTAAAGGTTTTTTTTTCTGCAGATTTTTTGTCTTGACTAATATGTCTGCTGCTAAATGTCAGTTTAAATAACACTCGAGGGTTATATTGTACGGCAGACATTCCGAGCATTCGTCATGCAAATCAGGATCAAATGTGTTTTATTGGGCACGTCTGATCTCATGTTTCTCTCTGTGTTCTCCCTTGTGTTGCAAACCTGTTCAGGGTGCGTTCACCTTCCGCGGCAGCATGATAGACATGCCCTCGCTGAAGCAGGCTCAGAATATAATAACACTCTCTGCCGCGGTGCCAAGGAAATAACACAACTGGTGAGAAGAAATGGCAGGAACCACACGACTAATCTGGGACGTGGAGGTCAAAGGAAACTGGAAAGGCTGCTGGTCTCGTGGCTAAAGTGACATTTCAAAAACTTTTCAGCCATCGTCTCATTGCTTCACAAAAATGAAGTGTGGAAACTGTGGATTTCATTTGGGATTTTTGTTTTTATTAAGGTTGATTTATGTAGCTTTTTTTTCCCTTTATAAAAAAAACTGTTGTTAATTTTGCTGCTGAGGTCCAATTCACATTGTTTTCAGCAATACCAACTCTGCAACTATCATGTGTCGACAGTATTTGCCTCTCAAAACTCACAAGGACTATTGCCCTTGCAGCTTTCTTGGCATGCTCTGCAGTGTGTGTGTGTGTGTGTGTGTGTGTGTGTGTGTGTGTGTGTTTCTGTGTGTCTGTGTGTGTGTTTCTGCGTGTCTGTGTGTGTGAGCATGCCTCCTCTTTCTCCTAGGTCACGATAAATGCTCTCCCATCTCCACGGTCCAGGCAGCTGGGCAAAAGGGTAAACAAACACAACAAGCCACTGTTGTGGATCTATTCATTGGGCCCCAGACTTCAAGTCAGGCCTCAGCCCCCTGCGCAGGGTCTGACTCACAAACATCAAAGTCCTGCTTGCTTTTAAAAAAAGAAAAGAAAAGAAAAACCCAGATGGAAGCGAATAAACTCAAAATTTAGCTTTTTTTGGTATCATTCTCCTTAGTGATGGCATGCAGCTCTCTCTGTGACAGCTGTGAGCCTGTGGTTGATTGTGTGTTGATGGAGAAGGCGTGTGGCGTCAGGCTCACCATTAACTTCGACGAAAAAAGTACACAAGCTGGTAGCAGTATTCTTTATATGAATCATTTATCTTGAGATTAAGGTGACCCGATATTAAAATGGCATCTAAGGAACTTTAATCTTATAAACAGCGAAACATAAAGATGAACTCGTTAGCGAGCGAGGCAGAGAAGTTTGTCTCATCACAAACAGAAGCATAAAGGGGCTTTGTGAAGTGCTTGTCCGTGTCTGACTTGCACAGACAGTGAAGTGGGTGTGATGTTAGAATGAGACAGATTAGTGGCCATGTTGCTCCAGCAGACCAGGACTGGGGCTTTGTCTCTCTCTGACTGTGGATAGGAGGATAATTGGGGGGGTGTTGAATGGTTAATAGTGCCATTGGTGACCATGGTAATGAAAGGCGCCATACCTCCCCTACCCCACCTCATCCACTTTCTGTCTCTCCATCTCTCTTTCTCTATCTCTATCTCTTACTGTATGATCTATTGTGTCTGGGGCAGGGTTGGTGTCTGTGCCAGGCCAGGCCCAGACAAAAAGATCGAAGCCACTCCTGGGTCCAGCCAAAGACCCTAACAGTAAGCTGTCTCTTTGGCATTTGGCCACATAATTTTTTCCCCCACCCCTTCAGCTTGTGTGCGTGTGTGCGCGCGCGTGTGTGTGTGTGTGTGTGTGTGTGTGTGTGTGTGTGTGTGTTTGTTTGTTGTCAACCAAATTATACCGTGAGATTGGTGGAAAACACTGCTGCTGTTTGACTTCCACTAAATAAACCTCCTCCCCAAAATATTACTTAGGTAGAGTTATTTTGCGAGGCTTTGTAGGTCATTCAGAACAGATCTCGGGCATCTTTATGCTCATCCTTGTGACAAAAACTGTAGTAATTAAAAGAGACACGTTCTTTTACCTCTGGGTTGCATTATGAGCTTTGATTATGGTGTAACTCTGTTTCAAAATCACTCAGTGGAGACTTTCATCAAACTTTGAAGTACTTTATTTTAACTTTAGGTGTTTTGTTATTGATGCATTTTTGATCTGAGTGAGAATTTTTTAAAAAGTTGCAGAAATAAAGATAAAACAAATGAATAGAATGATTGACTGTCTAGACAGCGTCAGTCCGCACTTTATATAATGCCGAGTCTTAAATATTCCCTCCATCTGTATACTTTATATTATGTATTCAGCAAACACACCTTGCTTTTAATGTGAAAGTATGCAGATGAATGAAATATTTAGTATACTTTAAATACATACATTGATTATTTTTGATTAGTCAAGTTTTAGTTAGTTTTTTTCTAGCATTGCCGCCATTAATAAAATAACTGTTTAGAGCACAGTAGAATGAGAGTCAAGCAATGACAGAGCGACCAGTCTGATGAGACAAGCTGGCTTTTCCAAGTTGCTCTGTGCCAACAGGTGTCCCCACAGACAGGAAGGCAGATTTCAGAGCAGAGGAAGCAGCACATGGCATCATGCAGAGACAAAGCAAAAAGGGCAGCTCTTCTGTGGCTGATCAGGAAATGATTTGGTCACTTTATGTTTTGAAAAAAAAAAAAAGAGCACAACACCCTCTGAAGGTTAATGAGCCACATATAATATCATGTTTACCTTCCGCCCAATGATCTTGTTTTTATTGGGTATTTTTTAATCTCCCCCCCCCCCAACCACCACCACCCGCCCTCCCCTCCTCATCTACTGAAAGGTGAAACAAATGGTATCTTTTCACTTACTTAGAGGACTTTCCAATTCGGTAACATTTGGAAATTGGGGGGGGCAGGCAGGCAAAGTGAACGATGACATCTCTGTAGATTAGAGGAATGCATCCCTGTCTGCCTGTGTAATTCTACATGACATTTCTATTATGTGTGGAACTGATAAAATCTTCCCAGATCGCTCGACTGTTGTATTTAAATACATCTCTCCGGTATTCCCAGAGAGATTAAATTACAATTAACACGATTATAACCTCACAAAATTGTGACGGGAATCAATTAGGCTGCAAGCAGTATTTCATAGCCCGGTAATGTGTTGGTCGAGATTGCTTTCATAAATAATGAGGGACAGCGCAGGCGGAGAAAATGCATGTATGCAAAACACTGTCAGAAGAAAATTAAAACGAAATGTTTTACATATTTTTCCATTAATCTAAATGGGACCCGTGTGGCAAAGATAGTTTTATTCTAATTCCCCAGCCCGGGGATGCCCAAATAATGACTTGATGTTTTAATAGACTTGTAATGACAATATATGACAAACTAATTGCAGCAGAAGATTATTCTAAAGCAATAAAATACCTCGTTATTGCGCTTGGCGCACAGTTTGAGAAGTGTAAAGCTATTAGCAAAAACGGCTTTAAAATAAGGTGTGCACAGCTGCTCAATATAGAAACATTTCGTTTACGATAATTAACTCTGTTTCAATATTTAGTAATATTGTTTTAAATAAATGAGGGCATTTTCAAAGTGACTGCGATGGGCCGTGTTTCTACGCAACTGTGACGGCCCTGTTACAGTCGCTTCTTAATTTTCATTATATCACTGCCCTCAGGCGCACAACCCCGCAAAAATGTTATCCCTTACCACGGACTGCTTATACAAAAAATAAATTATAATTTTTTTTTTTTTAAAAAGGGGGTTTTAAATAAAAAGAAATTACTTTCTTTTTAGGTATCATCATGGTCTTGCAGAAATACAATTTTCAGGTGTTTTTTCTTTTCTTTTTTTTAAGAGTAAAAATGTGGCAAATGTATTTGAACTGCAGGTTGTGTCAAGTCACACAGAAATGCTCTACCTTTACTTTGATTTAGGGCTCTTTTTTCTTTTAATATCAGCTGCTGTATTCTGAATGGTCTGCCTGCTTGGCAGCGTCCACACAATCTTCACTAAGTCGTTCTTGGCGGAACCTTTTAAATTTCTCGCACTGATGGCAGGGGCATGTCCACTCTTCTTCGTCTGCTCTCTCCCCCCCCCCCCCCCCCCCCCCCTCCAACATTGCGTTTGGGTGATATGAAATTCATCGCGGTCCTGTCTGTGCTGCGTGATTCATCTGGCACATGTGGACCATTACTAACTTCATTTGGGGAGACCTTTTGTCTGAGTGTCCCCGTCACCGAGTGAAGTCCGAGAGGATGGGACGGCGTGGGAGGAAATCAGGAGAGATATCAAACCCCAAGTTTCCTCTCACTTTTAAATTGTGCCATAAATCTTTCCTTTAAAAAATGCAGTGTGTCTAAAACTATTCCATAAATTATATAATTTTCATGACCTTTTTTTCTTCCCAATGCAAGCCGAATAATGTCGACACTTCATTCTCCTCACGGGTATAAATATAGTTCTAGTTTCTATCCACCTGCTAAAGACCCATCCTGACGATGATGGGCGGGATTTAACTGTATCTATTGAGCTGAAGCCCCCAAAGCCGCGCAGGCCTCTGAAGGCCCTCTTGGTTCTTTTGGATGTCCGGGGTATGTCCGCTTAATGTCATCTGCATTTAGTGAAAGAAGATAGTGCAGTTTATTAACAGATGTCAGGCTGGTAAGATCTAACCTTTGGACGTTAGAGCTTGCCTTTGCCTTAAGAGCAAATTAGGAATGATGCCCTCAAAAGTTAAATTATGGTCAGATTTTATTATTTTTAAAGGTAAGTTTAAAAATAAAAATAAAAATCTAGGTGACTTTACCTTTCTCCAGGCTTTGTCTTGCTCGAACTTCCCCCTCGATTCACTTCTTTTTAACGGGCTCAGATCAAAGGGGCTGCCCGCCCCGACGGAGACCAGTAAAATCGGCCCGCTTTGTCTGCTGTTGCCAGGAGTAAGGACGGGTGTCCGGGAGGAGGAGAGGGAAGAGGGGTGGCATGGTAATGAGACTCCTTATAGGGGCTCAAAAGTCTCAAAAAGTTATTTTTCCCCCCTCTCAAATGTCCATCTGTCGTCACATTTTAGTATCTCTTTTTTTATTTCGTCTATTGACTTTACTGAATAATGCGTTTCAATAGCTCCTTATTTTGTAGTCGACTTAATTTCCGATGAATTACAAAAAAGCAGTTTTAGAGCAGGCGTACAAACAGGAGGCTGTCGTGTGCTGTCAGAATGTATATATGTATTTTTTCATATCCCATCTGTGGGCTTAATGAGACATCACCTTCATATTTGACTATTTTACCTGAATAAACTATGAAACCGATTCTGCTTAGTTTTGAGGGGGAAAAAGCCACTCGGTTTTTGTTTGTTTTATTGCAATGTCCCTGAATGCATCAGCAAGATAGACCAGTGGAAAGTTTAAGCGATTGGGTCTGTGTGTTTGTGTGTGTGTATGGTCTTTAAAGAGGAGGGCCAGACATCAAATATCACACCTGCCTCTAAGAGTCGGTATCATCTCCAAATGTGTGATGGGTTATATATTTATGACTTGATAGCGATTAAAAAAAGTTGAAAACAAACTTATTTATAGAAAGATTTACGGCTTCCTCACAACCTTGCAACTTTTTTTAAAAAATATTTTCTTTCTTTCTTTTTTCCTGGCAAAATATCTGCTGTGGTTGGGCACTGATGCGCATCCTGTGATCCTGCTCTCTACACGCCGTCCCTTTGTTCTGTTTACCTGAGCAATATCAATATCTGCTCATCCTCTATAAAAACGCCTTCACACTGGCTTCATTTGTCGAGTCACACATGACGGTTTGGAGCAGAGCAGACAAACACAAACGCACAACAACAACAAAAATACAGTCGGAACTGTTAAAATGGAGCATAACTGACGAATAAGAGGCTGTAACAACTTTATTCTTCCGAGATAAAAGTTTAAAGGCGTGTTAAAAGGGTTGTGCTTCTCTGCTGCGCTCACAATTTGCATGGGAGAACGATACAAGGGTTTTGCCTTGTTAAAAAAAAAATCAATGAACTGTTTTAAAAGCGTCATAAAAGCAAATCGCAACGACATGAATTCGGCATTATTTGCACTATTTTTATTTATTTATTTATTTTTACAATCTCGACAAAAACAGAAAATGAGGAGGAGGGAGAAAGCACGCACTGATGTGGACCTTCCTCCCACTCCTCTCTTCTCTTTGAGCAGGTGGAGGCCTCGCACCTGCACCTGCGCACACAGCTGCGCGCACCTTGTTATTGCTGCCGCTGCTTGACGCACAGATGAGCACAGCGCAAACCCGACAACACAGTCCCGACAATATAAACCTCTCCAGTGCCACAGTTCTTAGCCTCAGCATGTTTCACTTCATTTTATAGAGAGACGCCAAAACATGCTCTCTTTTCAGGAACTGGATACGTATAAGCAATTTTCTATCCAAATAAGAAAGCAAATAAAATGCCTTCACCAAATTATCTTCCTCCTCCTTTTTAAAATTAAAAACAACAACAACAACAAAAAACTGTTAAGTGGGAATAATGCTGTATTTATCCCGGTCGTGTTGCCGTCTATCCCTTGTTTGTCATGCTCCGGACTTCAACATGACACCATCTAATCCAATTAAACACGATAACCCTGGACTCACTATTATTCTCCTCTTTTTTTCCCCTTCGAGTTGCTGACAAGCACTCTTGGTTTTGTGTGAAAGAGAGAGTCAAGAGCCCTCTCTTAATCCCGGGCACGACTAGAAGTGATTGAAAAGTGAAAGAAACCCCTTATTGGTCCTCGAGCTGGATGGTGTGTTCTTTGTCCGGTCCTGTGGCTTTTTGTTCGGTACGGTCATCATGCATAGCAGCCCTTTAATTTAGGTCTTTAAAGGGAAATCACGTTTATTGAGCCGGTGGCAGTTATTCGTCTGCGTCAGCGAAGAATAGTTTATTGAAACAAAATGAATAAATCTCCAAACATCTAGAGTCTCTTTATTATCTCGCTAAATGGGGAAAACTTGTAATCCAAACAGCCCGCTAATTGGGATTTAGGAAACATTAATCGACGTCGAAAGTGTGCCTAATTTGCCCTTTTTTGTTTAAGCAGATTAGGCCTGTGTCTGTTATGAAAAAATAACTAGATAACATTCAGCCCTGGCTTTTCGTCACCGCCTCCAACCCCTTAAACCTCAAACACAAATAAACGACTGGTTTTGCGGCACCTTCTGGAATTAATTACTTTTCCCCCAGTATTCATTAAGTCTGGTCTGGAGTAGAAACTTCCGCCTATTCTTAATAAAAATACAATGAATAATCATAAAAATTGAAAATTCAGATGAACGAAATCAAAGTTTCAAAATGAACTCGCCACAAA